AATAATATGTGTAACTTTCTGATCATATATAATTTTTTCTGCAAAATGATAGTCTACCATTTCTTTTACATATTTTCTCATTTGTTATATATAACCACCAGTTTTAAGTAACAATTATTTCTGTGGAAAAAGCAAAGTTGAAAATATAGAATTTTTATAATAAAATGATAGTGAAGGAATAGGAGAGGTAGTGTTGCAAACACAAAAATCTTTAATTTTATTCTTGAAGCCTGTTGAATAAATGTAGGAAAAAGACATTTTACTGAGGGTTAAGAGAAATAATTTGGATATATAGAAATACATAAATAAATCTCTTCACAAGAAGAAGACAAAACATCCCCTTTTATGTATCGAGCAGCAGAGAGTAGTATTTCATCATTAAATTAACTGATCCAGTGGGAGGTTTCTTTTTTAATCCAAAGAACTGTTTTCTGATAATCTCCTATACACTCAAATTCTCTAATAATGTCACAGAAAAAAAAGTTAACACAAAAAATTTTAAAGAAAACTATTTTTATCAGTGTTTGAATAGGTTCCTTATTTACAAATTAAATATCATACAAATGATAAAACATTGGTACATGCAATGAATAATGATTATGGGAAGGTCATCTGACACATTAGATAAGCAACACTCTAAATGCGTTTAGTATTTCTTAAGTACATTTCACGACATCTCCGTATATGTAACTTACATTAACTTAAGTTGACATCTTACACTTATCAACATGCAGGGCACTGGAAGGCCAAATGATGTCATTCCATGTAGCTTATATAGGCTGTGCCATTATCAATACTGAAGTAAAATTCAATCCTTCAGGTGTTTTCAAGAAACCCAGATGGTTGATCTAGTGCTGATAACACAGCAAAATAACCAATTGATTCCAGTTTTCATCTACATTTTAGATATTATAAGATCAGTAAATATCAGCCTAGAGATATTGTAAAAACACTGAAACACTTCTAGTTATGACATTTATTTATTTAAACATCAAAATTCCACAGTATCAGAACAGCAAAAAAAAATTTCAAGATACCTTGAAGTATAAAAAAATTAACATGACTCAATCTACCAAAACAAAGAAAAAATACATTCTTCTTAACGTTGGGAAATCTAACTTCTCCCCTGACATAAAGGTAAATGAGCATGCCAAATCGAGAAACTCGTACCTAATTTTTTAAAGTAAGAGCTATTAAATATTTTATTTATAGTCACGTGAGTGGAAAAAAATGAGTTAAAAAAAAGGAGGAAGGCTATTTCTCAATGTCCCCAGCTCATCTAGGTATTTATTATTTAGAGCTTTTGTACCCACATAAGGAAGGCTATAGTTACTGATACCATGTCTGTAAACTGAGGAAATTTTTTCTGTATATATAAATTTTCCAGTAATGGGAAAGGACACTAAAAAGAAGAAATATATGGAGAGGTACTCAAAGGAGGTAGTTGTTATTTTAAGATAATTTGGAACTGGAAAGGCTGCTTACACAAAAGACATAGCCATAAAAAAGAGAGCCAATAGTTTATAGTAAATAGAGATGTAAGATTGCATGGGACATTATCTTGAAAAGATAACTAAAAGTAAATAAACCTTGTACCTTATTTTAAACAAAGTTTACTATAATTACAATTACTTGTAATTATAATTACAATTACTGTAATTACAATTATGCAATAATCTTTTGAGTGAACAAATCTTAGTTAATTGCATATTAATAGTCCAGTGACAGCTGATGCTTTTTGTGACAAAACTGTTTGATAAACAATATACAACTTTTAATATTACAAGTCTCATTTCTACAAAAATATCTCAAGGATCTCTCTCGATTCTTAGATACTCACATAATTTGCTTTTGAATTTACATATTTTTGCCTTGAAATACATACTGCATTATTTTAAACTGTTACTGGCATATGTTTACAATATCCAATAATTGTAGAGAAACTGACCATGAATATATAACATGAGTATATAATAGGAAGTATATAAACAACAGGGATGTTTGAAAGGAGACTACTTTATAAGTAAACAAGTTCCTTTGTGAATAGTCGAGTGTTTGGTATATATACTTTACTTTCCTAGGCAACCTCAACACTCTTAGGGTTGGGAGAGTGATGTACAGATAAACAGGGCTCCCTCCTCCATCACTGTAGATGATATTCACTACCCACTTAGCTCTTAATGGATACAAACTATAGTGGTTTCCGTTCAAGTAATTCCTGATAGAGGAATTCTTTACCTGGCATCTAAGAAGACCTTTGGGAAGTCCCTAAAACTTCCTGGTGCGTGCAAATATTGGACTGTATATACAACTCTGTATTTTTCTGGGGGAATCTATAACTTTCACTAGATTCTCAATACCTTAAAAAGTTAAGTACTACTGACTAAAATTAATTTTTTAATCTGTTTCAGTTGACTGTGACACAGCACCACTCTTTGTTTTGTCTTTCAAAATCCATTACCCATTTTACAATCCCCTGATAGCTATTATCATCTGAAAGTAGCAGAAGTAGTAGTAGTACTCTTCTCAGATCTCTTTTGTTCAGACTCTACCACCTGTGTCAAGTCCTTAAGATAGCTAAGATTATGAGGAATGACCTTCAGGAATGGAGTAGTAGTATTTAAACAGAATTGAAGAGAATGACAGAGTAATGACATCACCAGTGTAGGTCTTCTCAAAATACAAAGAAATGAGAATACTGGATAAAATGAAAACAGAAATTAGCCTCTATTTAGAATGTGTTTTGCATGGATTTAAAAATATATTCCTTCTCTATGATTTGTATTGTTATATTAAACTATCAACCTAGATAATAAAGTAGAATTTTATCATGAAGTTAAAAGCATATAATGTTCTCTCAAAAATTCTTGAAGTGTATTTTATTACTCTTTTTCACCTGGCCTATTTCAGATGAATTTATCTATCTGGCTTTAATGACTATTCCTATAAATTTAGAGTTATTTTTTCCATGTCAAACAATAAAAATTATTTTAATTCTCCAAACTCTGAGCTAATGCTGTAAGCTAAGCCTGAGATAATTACTAGACCATAGGAATTTAATATTTTCCCACTTTCATTAGCATTATGTCTCAAATTTTGTGATGACGTATTTCCCTATGAGTAATACCTAAAGCACCCTTTCAAAAATTTATCCCAAAGTTAATATTCAAGAAAGATTACCTCTGAATTACTTTAGTAATGTACAGTAGCATTTTAATTTTTAGGCTTCTCCCTCCTAGTAAAAAAAATTCAATTTGTACCATATCATTTCATCCTACTATTCAAGATCTTCTATAATCTGTTGCCAAAATTATTTTTTAGGACTTCCAAGCAGACATCTTCTAGGGTGGCCAGATCTTTCTAATGAATGTTCCATGAAGACACTTCCTCAATTTATTCTCATTTTTGTCATTTGGTTGATATTATTCCCTAATATGCCCTCCCTTTCACCAAATTTATGCTTTTAAAAAGAAGTTACATTCTACTTTCCCACAGACTTGTGATTTTCCAACCTTCTTCATTCATTTCCATTTTCTCTGACCTTCTGTATTTGTAGCTTTTGCTGTACCATGCAGAGCTTAATTCTATGTGTCTTCTATCTTTTGTTGTTGTTCCTCATGTAGTCTTGTTACTCCCTGGGGAGTAAGACCATATCTTGTTCATCTGTTCTACATTTTCACAGGATCCACTGAAGTCTGCATATCCCTCCATAAATAGTCATTGTTCAGATGATCACTCATGGAGATCTAGCACAGAGCAACCTGCTTGGTAAGTCAGTTCCTAATCCCAAGCTTGAGCTTTCTTTCCTGAGAAAGAAAATTTTGAGTAGAGCATTAGAGATATAAATATTTTTAATAAATGCTAACAAAGCTAGCAAAGGTCACAGCGTATCCTAAATATTTATGGGACTGGAGCTTTATTGTCCACTCAGAGTTCAATATAATAAAAAAGAGTTTCTGTTTCACTAATTATTTTGTCAGTTGGCAAACAAAGTTTATTTTGTCAATTTGGAGCAAAACTGTATCAACTAATTAATTTACATCTATTTTTAGAGACAGCGATAAATTGTAGCTAGCTGAGAAGTCCTAGTAAAGTTGTTTTTTTTGGGGGGGGTATTCTATTTATTGAAACTGATTATCCAGTATCTCTTTTGGATGAAGTAAAGAAGATTTGGAATACAATTTCTGATCCTGATTAGAAAAATCATGAAAGGAAAGGAAAATAAAAAGGACATGTACTACCTACATTGTGTGTCTGTGTGTAAGTGTATGTTTGTGGGAAGGAGTAAAATTTCAGCTCATATTCTTGAGGAAATTATTCAACATGTTCCTTTTTTGAACATAAATATGGAAAGACACTCTCAGAATTAGTGTAATTGAACTGACAAGAGGGATTAGGCCTCATTTTAGGAAGCAAAGTTCTCATAAATTTTTGGTATTTTATTGTGGAAAACTCTAATGTTTACTGAAGATTCACTTTTCAATTAGAATATGACAGATTCTGTATCTTTTAACTATTTCCTCTAGGAAGTTTGAACTTTCAACATGTCCCTCCAGACAGTGGAGGAAGTCAATGGACTATCAGAGCTGTTGATCTTGATACTTGATGACTAACACAAGACTTGAATAGAAGAGTTGGAAGTGAATAAGTGAAAAATGGTTTGCGTATTTCAGTAGGTTTTCTCCTTGCAGTCTGATGGTTCCAGCGATACATCACCACATCTCCACTCTGACAACATTAGTAGGGAGTTATTTCTTATGCTGTACCTCTTTTCAGGAAAACACAATTTAGTCAAAGAAGAAAAAATCCTTAATCATTCTCAATAATTCTTCAACACCATGTTTCTTCTTCCTGTGAATTCTTCTGTCGTCTCTAGATTTTCGTGAACAGTCTATTCCTTTTGAGAAAACTAAGCCAAAGCAATATATGAAACAGAACATACTTGCATAGCACCAGCATAGAATTGCTTCCCAGTTGATGAATTGAGCCTGTTTGCTTTGTTTATAATTCATTCCCATCATCTGAGCTAATACTACTTCTCCTACTGCTTTCTTTGGAAACTGCAGGGGAAGTGGCAGATAGCAGAGGATCTGTTCCAAATGGAGATATTGTGTCATCTAGTAGCATGTCATTCAATCTTTGCTCCTCTTTCAAAGAGGCACTAAAGGATAAATCTGTGAAATGTGACAAAGGATCAGAGAAGGCCATAGCTTGATCACAGAGCTCAGGACTGGTCCCTTGAGACAAAGTCAGTTGTTGGCAATAGTCTACTGAATGCTGCTCAAGATGGGTCTGTTGTTTGGTGACATGAGCACCTAAATCAACTGTGCCAAGTGAAGCCAGGGCTGGCAGACCATGAGCACGAGCCTGTATTTCTAGTTCCTGCAATTTCAAACAATAATAATTAAATGATGACTTTGCAAGTGGACTTAACTCTAGTAAATAAACCAGAAATGGAAAAAAATATTAACAAGCATTCAAAATGAAGACTGATACATATATTATAATATTCTTTGCAAGTAATGGAACCGAGTGTGTTTCTAATGCCTGAAAAATAACCCTGAGAAAACTATACAGATTAAAAAAAAAATTCTTTTCTCATTGCTGTTCAAGGGAATACATAACATAGAATGGTTCCATAGTGGCTCAGAATACAATATAACCATTTGGAGATAGTGGAAAATATTTCATTTGTTCGTCCTGATTAATTTCTCACTATAGGACCATTTCATGGAACAGAGTGGTGCTTTACCTGGCAATAAGCATGCTCACATAAAAAAAATCTTGAGAGTTATGAAAACCCATATTTTGATATTTTGTGTCACATGAACAGATGAGGACTGACTTAATATATACTGGCATAATATGCCTTGCGGCAATGAAATCCATAGCAATGTTACTAAAGAAATAAAAGGGAGAGAGAACAATTTAGTGTCCAATATGATATAAAGAAAAAAAATGTTTTAATTATTATTAGTTTTTGGCTGGGATAACATTGTGTGCTTATCAAATTGGTTCTATTTTAGGCATTTTGCAATTAGTTGTTATTCATTCTACTTTTAAAGCCATCTTGATCGTGGACATCTAATCAAAGTCTAACTGAAACAACCCAATTCATGAGCTTCTAAAAGGCAATAAAATTATCCTTTAGAAGGAAAATAATTGTTAATAAGAAAAATAAATGAGACAATGAATAAAACAGATGGTGGATAAGTCATATATAAGTGACGTGGTTCATGGCAACATTTTTATAAAAACCTGAATCCGGAGTAGAAGCCGCCTGTTAGCCTGCTCTAATTTCTTCTGTCTGTGTTCTAATTCTCGAGCTCTCTGTTGTTCTTTTTGTAGCCACTTGATGTACTCCACTGATGCTTTTAGAATGGTTCCTTTGTTCCAGCGCATATCACTATAGAACGGAGAGATAACCTTTTCACAATTGTGCATGTCAGCAGAATTCATAAGAACTTACAAAATCTTTTACATTAATATGAAATAATGATTTACATGACTATTATTCACTCTTAGATATTATTGCTTCTGAATAGAAATTTTAATAGAATAGTTAAGAAGCCCTTATATAGTAAAATTAATCCCAGAATGAAAATAAGTGTCAAAAGAAAGTAATAAAGTGACTTTTTGTGGGAGAGCTAAATGCAATATCATGATTCTACCATTACAGTTTTTATATTTTTAGTGAAAATTGCTTTTATTATTAACTCTGAGATTAAAATCTATGTGCAGTATTTCTGCATTAATGAACTAGGAAATGTACATTACTGAGGACTTAAGCCTAAATTTTTTAAGATCATTTCGAATGTACCAGTCTTTTAACCTACTTTCTAATAAGGTTGCTTTTATGCTTCTAAGAAAAAAAAAATAAGGTCCCTTCTGAATGGTGATCCTGAGTGATTGTGAAACAAATCAGAGTTCAGCAACATCACTTTAAGCAATAGAGCAAAACTTTCTAGAATCATTAGGCAAATTTTTCTGCACAAAGACATCAATACTTGATTTAAAAGTTGGATGCCTATTTTTAAATAAATTTAAGACAAGTAAATAAATTAAACATTACCAGATAATCTTTTTAGAGCACAGGAAAAATATTTTATTAAAACTTATTTTTAAGTCAGGAGAAATTATAAATCTGGAATTATGAAACAAGCTATCGGTTGCAACATCTGGAAAAATATGTCAATGAATTTAATCCCATATGAGAATTAATAATATATGTGGAGAATGATGTCAAACTAATTGCTAAATTTAATCAGAGTTGTAGAAAACCTTGATGAATTTTCAGTTCAGAGTCATGAGACTATTTTTTTTAGTACAGCATAAGTAAGCATGTAGGAAATTTTTTATAAAGACTTATTTATTTATTTGAGAGAGAGAGAGAGCATGAGTGGGGTGGGAGAGGCAGAGGGAGAGGGTGAGAGAGAGTCCTTAAGCAGACTCCTCACTAAGTATGGAGCCCACTGTGGCGCTGGAGCCTAGGATGCTGAGATCCTGACCTGAGCGAAAATCAAAAACGACTGAGCCATCCAGACATCCCAGCATGTAGGAAAATTTTTTTTTTAGAATTACACTTTATATACTTTTGTTTTATATGATCTATGTGAGATAGATTGAAATTAATATGTATGTATTAAGTGATCAGAAGTGGGAAAATATAGTTTATGAAAAATCTGGCTTGCATATTCCTCACTGGAAGTTAAGGTTAGATGATACTTCGATTAGGGGCAATAAATCAAAGGAAGATACACTTTTCTACTGGCAGGTGAAAATGCCTACTAGAAAATGCTAAAGCATTTTCTACCAAAAGACACCAACCCATTACTAGAGTCTGTCAAGAGTGTGAAAATGCTTTGTCAGCTCCTCTAGGGCCATCATAGCTGCTGCTCTCATTCCACTCACGGTGACTTCTCCGGTGATGGGAAGGCTATGGAGAAAGGGGCTACTTTTGTCATTAAGCTAAGAAGGTACTTGTAACTCAAAAAGGTGAACTCCTGAATTAAAACCCTAAGCTGCAGCAGGAGACTTTTGGCCCTGATTTTGTTTCATTTCTTCTCATGGGGAAAAAAACAAAACAAAACTAGAAAGACAGAAGAAATAATATGGAAAGGATAACCACCAGTCAACTTTGAAGTTTAAGGTACTGTTTATTTAGTATATGTGCTGCCAAAGCGAGCACTAAGGTACTGTTTATTTAAATAAACGTTCAAAGTGGTGGTAAAGACCACACAATGGGTCTTCTGACCATTTCTATCTGACATAATTTGCACTAAATTTGTTAAGTTCATTCTATTTTAAAGTCATTTTAATATGTGAGGTTTCTTCTTAACCAACTTCTTGAGTCAAAATTAAGAGTCACATGCTCAACCGACTGAACCACCCATGTGCCCCCCCCATGGATCCAAGTTTTAAAGAGGCTGTGTTCTGAATTCACCCATGGGATTCACACTGGTGGGCCCTAAAGAGAAGCCCTAGGGTAACAGGTGAGGCCACAGCAAGCCAAGGGATAAGATATATTGAAACACAATTGGTATTGGATGTCTGGAATGCCACAGCCGACAATGAAGCATCTCTTCTACCTGCTATGTGCACAGAACCACATATAGATATCTTCAACGTTGAATTAATTAATGTTTTTAATTAGACCTAAAATAAATATCATTTCCATACATATAATACAATTAAAATAAATAATGATACTTCTTTCTGAGATCCATAAAGAGGAGGAAAACACTTAAAAACGTTTACAATAAAATTTTACCAGTGAGAGTCTCTTTTGGATATGATTCTGTGATAAATTGATTTTCTATACTCTAGATCAGGGGCAGACAAACTAGGACCTGTGGTCTATTTTTGTCAATAAAGTTTCAGTGGACACATCCATGTTCATTCATGTACATATGGTCTATGTCTGCTTTCATGCTACAGCAACACAGTTAGAAAATTGTCACAGGCTATGTGGCCCACAAACCTCAAAATATTTACTATCTGGTCCCTTACAGGAAAAGGTTGCCACTCTCTGTTCCAGACAGTGAGTTGGAAGGAGAAAGGAGCCTTTTTATAACCAAAGTTTCTATAAAGTATAGAATAATCATCCCTTACAGAAGTGTTATCATTTGTATGGTATTCTCATATATATTATTTGGCTTTATGTTTATAAAAACCCAACCATACGATTGGTGCCTTATAAGCATAGTGACATCTGAAGATGGTCAGTTAGGCTTCAGAGTCCAGTCTTGAATTCTCATGCACTTTCTGCATATAACCACGCTCTAGCACTGTAGGTTAGCTTCCACCAATTACAAGAGAACCTCTCTCAACTGACCTTTATCCAATCACTTTCAAGGTTAATAACACTCCATTCCCTTTGTGATGTTCACTGACTGTTGTCAGAACAAAATAGGTAATAGAGAGCACTGGGCTACCCTCTGATACATCCAGGTATTTCTGTTGTCAGTGTGGTGCTATGTACTGACTGAGAGGTTAAATTAATGCCCACTGTAATTACTATGATGATAATATAATTAAATTATAGGTACATTAGCTAATAAAATGTGAATGCCAAAAAAGAAAGCACTTATAAAAATAGTTACTGTTTTAAGGAAGATTATATTAAAAGCTTTGGAAAAACTCAATTAAAATGTCAGTAAATTTGAGTTGCTAAAAAATATGCTGTCACAAATAAGGGTATACACATTTTAAAAGTATTTCTATATTTAAGTTGTATAAGTTTTTGTTTTATTTTAAAGAAATTAAAATAAACTATACATTTTAGTGCAGTTTATGTAAGAAAGAAAAGTTGAAACACATATTCAAACAAAAAAAGCCTTGGCTTTACCTCAAATGCTTGGTGAATAAATGTGCATGTATATATATTAAGTGCTAAAGAAGAAGAAAAGTCCCATCAGGACAATGGGTATTCTCTTCTGCTAACGGGAGGAGTTGCATGCTTAGAGACTTTAAGTGATTTGAAGAGTTATCAAATGACAGCTACACTATGACCAAGTTCTTCAGACTCTCCAAAAGGGGCTCTTTGTGCCATTCCACCTAATATGCCCATGAGGAGAAATACGACCTTCCCTTCTATTACAAATCATTGAATTGTCCAAGTGAGTTGGCACATTTGGATTCAGGGAAAGAGTATTTCCAAATCTCACTAATATCACTTTATCAAACATCACTGTTTTTGAATAATGGATGATCACTAGTATTTGGAGAGGACAGTTCTCAGTTTGAATGAAACGTTTTGAAGTCATTATTAATGCAACAGATCTTATTTTTATGTTTTGGAGAGACATTTGACATTCTAACTTGATACTTTGATTAATCAATTCTTTCCTGAAATTTACAACCTCAAACATCTTGTTTAACTGATTTTGTGTATGACGCCAAAAAGTGGCTGAAAATTTAATTACAATAACTAATTATTGGTTGGCATTAATCAGCATGTTTTTACAATCCTATTTTTTACCTGCATGTCTCCAGAATTTTGGGACCTCTGAAAACCTAACAATTCAATGTTCATGTACACATAAATCTCACATTGGAAGAATTGCTATAACTGTAAACTGAGTATACAAGAAGTGTCATAGACAACATTTGATACTACCACTAAATTTACCAATATTGGTGCCATATCGAAAGCTATGAACTGAGAAGAAATAATGTCCTTATTTCCTACATCTCAGAAGAGCAAATGTTAGTAACAATATTGATGTTTAATAACTATCATTCTCGAATAGATACTTAATAAGACCAGGAGTTGCCTTACCTTTACCATAAGCTACTTGGTTTCTTAGCAATTGGTACTCTTCTCCTCTTTTCCCTCCCACCCATGTTGGAGGGTATTCAAACTATTACATTATTATAGAAATGATTGTTGAACTCACGGATCATTAGACTTTGGAATAAGAGTGCCAAGCTCCTTGATTCGGTAATTAATATTATACCTTCTTCTTCTTTCAACTATTAAAAGAGAAATGTTATTGATTATTCTCATTGAAGCATAATTCACTTTTGGACAGCTGTAAACTTTCTTAATAATCTTTAAAAAACAGTGAGTGAAAAAATTTCCTTATTATCAAAAGAGTACTCAAAATAAAAATTCAAATATATTTCAATCTAAAAGTAAAAAATGACAGTATTAGAATTGTGATTCTATTATTGACAATGCTTTAAAAACATTTTCTCTCAAAACAACTTTTTTCACTTTCCAAAATGCTATAATATTCACTCATACTGAAATGCATATGTATTTATATATATTTATCTTTTTGGATCACCATTTCACACATACTCATTTTGCCCATCAGGATCATAATTTTTCAAGGTCTGCACCATGTTTTATTCTTCTCATACAATCCCCAGAGACCCAACACAACTTTTGGCAGATCTCGGACATGTGTGCCCAACTAGACTGTGACCTTCTTGAGGGCAGGGGTCATTTATTCCTCATTTTTCTATTCTCAGAGGTCTGGCATATAGGAGATATTAAATAAATGTTGATTAGACTGTAAATATATTTTTCTAATTTAAAATTTTTCAATAATATATAGAGTAGTGGCTTTCAACTTTTGGCATACATAAGTTGGGGCCCAAGGATTTGCATTTCTGAGAAATTCCCAGGTCATGTTGATGCTGTTAGGGCCCACATTTTGAGAACTATTGGTATAAATTCTTATTCAGAGACCGTTTTCTTTGTTTGCATTTCCACGACTTAACTGCTTTTGGAAGTTTTATGATCTAATTAATGTTCAGTAAATATCAGATATACAAATAAGTAGAGTTTCCTATATTTGACCCCTTTGAGAAAGCAGTCTTATGGAGTATAGTGTAGTCTTATAGTCTGCTCTATATTCCTAGAATCAAGAACTACAACATATCCTTCTACACAGTATTTTTTCAATAGGTAACATTTTAAAAATCTTTCCAGGAAAATGGAGGAAGAAAAAGTCATGAAGAAGAAAATCATATATCAAAAATATTTGAAAATACTTAATGCATGCTAAAAATTAAGATCTGCTACCACAAACAAGGAAAGTCATGAAAGAATAATTGACTCTACAAAGCAATTTACCATGAATGGATTTGACCTTCAGTAATAATATATTGGGATTACTCTAAAATTAGAATATAATTGATTCTTGAGGGAGTTAATTCAAAAAACAATGACACCACATTAAAAAACTGAAAAGATAAACAAAGGTAAAGCTGATAGAAATACATACATATTTCACAGTAAGAATTATTAATAATTCTATGTTCACACATACTACTATATTATAAAACAGACTTTTAAATATAAGATGAAGAATAGCTATCAAGGATGTTCACAGTTTTACCTCAAAATAAGGTTTCATCCTATAATATTTCTTCAAAATCTATTATTTAAATGTACCTTATGTAAAATATCAGAAGTTCCTACTTTACTCTTCTTAGATTGTGCTTGATAAATTTTTAATGGGTAATTATAATGAGAACTTTGGTTCCTCAATGTTTTCATATCCAGTAGTAGTTATTTGCGAAGGAGTCAAGTTTTAAGAAATTACCAAGTTTAGTGCATGCCGTGTGTGGTTTCACTCTCCACAGCATTGATATATCCATTCTTTCCTGTTCTGAGATCAGGGTGAGAGAGGAACCTATCCTGGACCCATACTTAAGAGGAGCCACTTTTGCCTTCTCTCACCACACCCTTCCTTCCCAGCTGAGCAAGTCAGTTCACGGAGTCAAACTACACTGAGTAACTCACACTGGGGCTATCCTCCCAAATGCCCTGGGCCCACTTCCAGAGCCTGTGCAGGTCCCTTCCTGGGTCCATCCTCCTGAGTGAGGACCATGACACTGATGTGCTCACCTCTAGGCTCAAGATTCGGACGAGGGAATTTATTTACACAGGTGGTTGTGGAGTTAAAATGTATAAGACAAATGTGCGAACTCATGTCCAAGGCCACTGGCAGTACAGAAAGAAAGGAGTAGGGAGAGCAGTGAGATGGGCTGCTGGCTTAAGGCTAGCTTTGCCTTACCCTGACGTCCCCCACTCAGAGCTCCGATGATCTGAGAATTCTTAATTCACACCTGGCCTTCCAGTCTTTAGAAAGAATAGAGAATACTTAAGGTAGCACTCTCTAGCTTGAGTTACAACTTTTAAATATTTAAACTTCTGGTAAGTGGGTCTCCATTTGTCCTCTTGCCATGATCCCCCCAAATTTTACAGGTGGTCCTAGATTCATCATATTTAAAATAGGATATTAAAGTGTTTTTTAACATTGAGATCTCCAAAAAGCAACATCTTCCAGTAAGGGAATCCAGATTAGCAAACACTTGACGATAGACATACTAGGCACCTATCATACTTTATGCTAAATGACCTGCTATTTAAACTGGAGATGTAGAGAAAAGAAGAAAAGAGCAAGGAGAGTCATGAGTTAACAGGTTTTAAAAGAAGAGAGAAGCCCATAGTTCCTTGCTGTATTAATCCCTTCTGTCAACAACTGGCTCCCCCCTACTTGTGTTCTACTTGTCTCACAATCTGGACCAAAGGAGATCTGCTCTATTGCTAAGGACTATCAGAGTGAGAACATTTCCCTTTCCACGACAACCTCACAGATGGTTAGAACCACTTGTTAGCTCTTTCCTCGCAACTTCACCATCAGCAAACTCTGATCAGCCTGTGATGTAGCAGGTACAATATGAACAGACAGATGTAGGGTCCATAGGTCCCTGTAGGATCAATTTCCGCTAACCACATGTAAGAAAAATCCTGGTTTGTTTTAGAACTTTGAAGTTTTTATTTATGTTTATTCTATTTTATTCTTTTCTCATTTTTTGATTGGCCTTCCAAAACAGGAAGGCTTCACACTCAGTCAAGCTCACTTGAGGCAGTTAAGCACTTGGGACACGACCAAACACTATCAAGCTCAATACTGCTGTTAACCTACTTCCCTCACTTGTATTTCTCATCTCATGTGACCAGTCATCAGAGTCAAACTGACCCCTAGGAAGGCATCACAGACATTTAATTAATGAATGAATTAATTAATTAATTTGCAGAGGTAGAATTCAGCAGTACAATGTCAGCAATGTCTTTCAGATAACTTATCATTAGGAAGGGAGGGGCAGATTGACACAGAAAGATGAGAACGTGGAGTTGTTTCTTGCTTTATAAGTGGTGTACATTTTCTAAAGCCACTTTTATCTCTAAACCTTTGAGTCAAAGAGTCACAACAGAGTTCAAATGTAACTAAATGCACTCGTATCTGTCACATCCAGTCTGCTTGAGAGAGATAGAGTGAGTAAGGAGACAATTTGAAATGTTTCACTTCCTAAAATTATGTAGCTCTTCTGAGGGTTCATATGATTTAAATTTCCCAAAATAGCACAACTAGTGAACATATACTATTCATTATGGTTATTTTGGTTATGTGACCTCATAATAATACTTACAAAGTGACAATAAAAGACCACATATTTTAACTTCCATGGATTTCCTCTTGCATTAATTTTTTTTTTTTTTTTTTTTAGAAAAAAGGGAAAATATACTTACTGAGGTTGTGGTTGTCCTTTTTTTGTCTCTCTTTTGCCAAAGCTCGCGTATCTGTTTCTGATCAAAAGGAAGATAATTTAAATTGTGCTTAGTTCTATTTTACAACCTCTCTAGTCAACCTAATTCAGCAATATTAGGTGAAAATACAGTATTACTTGCTCCAAATGGCATAATAATATTTTTATGCCAATATTTAGAAATTTGGAGCAAAGCACTCTTTAAGAAAGAGGCAATGGCTAACCTTTTAGGGTTTGAATAGTAAAACCTGGATTTGTATTCTGGCCTTCCTTTTAATAGCCATGTGATCTATTACCTAAGTTCTCTGTGTCTCAGCTCCTCATCTGTAAAATTGGCATAATATAATACCTATCTGATGATCACTGTGATGATGAAAAGAGGTACAGTGCATAGCAAATATTAAACTGTTCAATCATTATTATTATTTTAAGAATTTTAAGATTATTCAAAATTATTTCAGCTTAATTTTTACAACCAACATTTTTCATAATTAACTATGATTTCTACATCCCTGGAGTTGGAACTAGCAACACTTCTTAGGTATTCTTATCAAACACTTCCAGGAAATGACACTTTATGTGCTACATGGTTGCAAGCATTTGTGATAGTCTCCAACATCGCCTACCATGATTCTCAACGATATTCACATCCTTGGGTGTTTCTTTGCACATTAGACAGGGCTGACCTGGGATACCAACAGAATATGTGAAAATGACTAGTGTGGTCACTAGTGTGACCAAGACTAGGTCATAAAATACATGTTCAATTACCACTTTAGTGTCTCTTGGATCACCAGTCATGTCATGAGGACATTTGATCAGCCTCATAGAAAGGTTCACGTGGTAAAGAGACAAAGTCTCTTGCCAACAAACAGCACTAACTTTCAAGACCTGCAACAGAATTGTTTTGGGAGCACATCCTTTAGCTTGCCTCAAATGTCTGTACCTCTGGACAACATCTTGACTGTAGCCTTATGGAAGACTGAGTGAAAACCAATTTTCTAAGCCATCTGGATTTCTGACCCATAGAGATGATATGAGAGAGTAAGTATTTATTATTTCAAGTTGTTAAGTTTTGGGATAATTTGTTATATAACAAAGGAAGTAGTTGATTTAAAAGGGATAAAACTAAAAAGCAACATTACCTGTAATTTCTCTTTTCATTGGCAGACTACTTGGACAGGAAGCACTTGTAAGGCCCATATTAACTGGTGAAATTCCCTGCTCACCACTATACACGTCCAAAATACTTCCAGACAACTTTAGAAATAAAAGGAAGAAAAGATGAATCAAACCTCCTATAGACACTGATATATTTAGATGCATATTTTAAATTTGCCATTTTATTAATAATTGTTATATACAGCATTTTAATTTTAAACAAGAGTGAATATGCATTGACTTTTCAAAATCATTATGGGATGCTTGTGGATATGTTGACAAAAAGCTATTTATATTTAAGCAAAAAAAGAAATTAGTTCACTCATGAAAGAAAATTCTGATTAATATTTACAAAGTTATTGAAGTTTGATCTGCACATTACTATTATAAATGAGTAAGATTTTAAAAAATCGCTTGGACAAAGTCAATATACATATTAGCAAAGCTGGAAAGTTCATTGCATATCATAAATTAGGTATAATGGCTGAACATTTTGGAAGCCTTCTTAATGCCATCAGTGCTACCAGCAACTCATAGTCAAGAGGTGTTTTACACTGTTAATTAAGTGAGAAACTTTCTTTCCTTCCTGGAAGGCATACTTTTTCTCATCGCACACTTAATGTTCTAGATTATTATAAATATCCCAGCTGGTAACCAAAAGTAGTCTAAAACTACTTTGCCTCTAGTGGATATAGGGTACATCTAATTATAGAAACACTGCAATTTCTAATGTGCTTCTTGAGAACAATTTTTCAGAAAACTAAGATGTTTTATAACAAAATTCAAAATTGTACAAATTTATTATTTAAAATGTGCTTATTGATTTGACTTCCCAAGAAAATTTAATTTAAATAATATTCATAACTCAAGTTAATATTCATTATTCCAGAGCAAGCCACATTTAAAATGTAGGATTTGAACATTTAAAATATTTCCATTTTAAGTACCCATATTTCATTTCTGGGCAGTAAAATAAGAACCAAATAAGTAGCAACTTTTTTCTTTTCTTAAGGATTAGAAATAATAATCAAACAAAATTATAACTATATTATTACAGAGATTCTTAATTCCTTATTTACATTTTTTGTAAAACTCCAATTCAAACTGAGGGAAATTTTTGATACTTATAAAGTCAGACTGAAAATAAATGTGAACAAAGAACATTTTAAGACCAAAATTAATTCTGACATAATAATCCATTAAACTACAGTAACAAATATTGTGAACTTTGGAGGAAAAGGAACTTGAAAAATACAGTGGAAATCAGGCTAATATATGTGAATATGTATATCAATAAGGATATCATAGATGAATATGTTATTCTGATACATATTTTTATATGTTGGCTCTTTTCATTATTTACTCTATTAAGACTCATCTTTATTTTATATAAACTCACTGTTTTAAAATGTATTTTTACTTCATAAATCTTGGAAGGGAACACTTAAGTTGAGTATTTACTCCTGTTCAAGTTCCTCATCTAAAAAATAGTTGATCAAATTGGATAGATGATGAGTGCTTATATAGGAAAAATACAATTAGGAAGAAATCTTAAAAGCAGATATTTCCCTAACGTGTGAGTCATTTAGTCATACTGTAAAAGTAAAAAATTTCAAGACCTTTTTTGAAAATCTTGTTGGTTATAAGCTGAGGCATCACCAACCTGAATTGTACATTTCCTCCGTGCCTTTGAGAAATATAATGGATGTGCTGAACAAAAAGATAGGGAGTGAGGGGGAAGGAAGAGGGAAGGAACCAGAGAAAGGGCACTTTTCTCTGAAGAGCTTGAATTCAGATGGATTTCAATGCAGCAGTGGCAAATTGCAAAAATGTTTAAGAAGAAAAGGAGCTATATTACATATATACTGTAACAGTAAAGTGATAAGTTCCCAACTATAACATTACTCTGGGTCCATGTTACTTGGTCAGACCATACCTAATATAGAAATGGTGCTGGAATTCTGATAATGAATCTAATCCTGCTTAACTATAGGTATATTACATTTTCTTCTGACCTTGATTATTGTTTAATTTATGCCCTAAAGCATAATGATTAATATCGTATTTAATTTTATGCTGTAGGTACCACTCTATTTCATGTAAATGACTAATCACTTTTTGAATATCATTAGACAACTGGTTTCAATTTCAAAATATGTATTATACTTCCTGTTATCTATAGTGCCTTTCCTCCTTTAAAATATGTGAGTACAATGTTAGTGAAAATTTAAAGATTACATACACCCTTGAAAAGGCTTACAAAGCAATATTGTATCTACTTTTCTCAAAGGTATAAGTTACTTAGGTAATGTATTAACTTTATTTTGTAGATTAGTGGGAAACTGGATAGATATTTTATGAAGAAATATTTATTATTCTGGTTTTAAAAACATTGCTTTTTCAGTAAAGCAAACCCTTGACATCACAATAGGGGAACATATCAATATTAACAACAAAATCACAAATTTTAAATATATATAATAAAGAACTCATCATAATATTTTTTCAAAAGTTAGAACATACTCCTCAAGACAATACTTCCTTCTGGTAAAAAGCATGACCCCTGATATCAGAAGTTGCCTTCAGGTGAGGAGTGATTGCCAGTGGTTCTTGTTGTTTATGGTTCTCCACCCTAGATTTTAGTCACACCTCCATTAGTGAGACTATAAAGACTGAAGTAGACTAGGCCCTGACCTTCCCACATATGTACTTTCACATATGTAATTTCACAGTAGCTGATATTCCTGAAGAAAACAAACAAACTAGTCAACATATCAAAACATTTGAGGAAAATGATTACTTCAAAAGTAAAACAACATGCAATGTGAGAGATAACACCAGAAGCAAAAATTTTAAAAAAAAGAAAGATCACATGAAACCAATTTTCTTAAATTAGTCTAATGTTCGTTCTAAAAAAATAAAAAGTTTGTAATAATTAATAATATAAAATGAGAACAAATTAACATATAAGTGGCCAAAGTGAATAAGCAGAAAGAAGAGGTTTGAAAATATAGTACTTGAAAAATAGTATTATAAAGAATATAAAATGGAAAATAGCATCATGAACACAGTGAGAAAGGAATAATGGAATTAGTAAACTATAAAACCAAATTGAAGTAATCTTTCAGGAGGATGAAGAAAAGGACCCAGAAATAGAACATATAGAAGAAAATCTAGCTAGTATGGAAGACAGATTTATTAGAACTACAATACAAATATTAGAAGTTGCAGAGAGAAAGAGAAATAAAATTAGAAGAAAGAAAATTTTTAAGAAATAATGGAGATACATTTCTGAGAATTAACTAACTAAAGTCTATTGTTTTATTAAATATTATTTTATCATGATTTTATTTTTATTAAAAAATAGATAGGAAAAACTTACACCCAGACATATTACAGTGAAATTTTACAGTATACAATGACAAAGAGGAGAATCTAAAAGCCTAAAGAGAAAAAGGTAAGATTATGTCCAAAGGAACAAGAATCTGGTTAACATAAGAGTTTTCAATAGCAACATTGAATGAAAGAGGAAAGTGAATGAGTATTTTTTAAATGTTGAAAGAAAAGAACTTAAAACACAAGTTTATATCCAGCCTAAGAGTCATTCACAAATGAGGCCATGATAGAAATATTCCTAGAGTCATAAAATACTTAAGAATGTTTACCCAGAAAAACTAACATTGAAAACAGTTTTGGATAAAGTACCTAAATAGAAGAAGATATTTAAAGGATATGCTTCAAAAATACAAAATAAAAATGATCACATACCTTAGTAAGTGGTTGTAGTCTAAAAAAGATGAGGAGAACCAAGGTAAAAAAAAAAAAAAAAGAAATATATAATGATATAACTCGGTATTAAAGTGTAGATAATATCAATATGATTGAAGTGAAGTAGAAGGAAACCAAAGGGTGTAAAAGTGGTTAAAACTAAGGAGAAATAAATGGGCACACTTAAATAATAAAGTAAGATGGGAGAAACAGGTGAACACATATCAGTGTAAATGAGTCAAGCCTCTCAGCAAAAAGGCTGACAGTTTGGATAAGACAGTACAAGAGACACACCTACATAGTGAAGGACACACAAAGATTGAAAATTAAAGGATGGAAAAAAATATAGCCAGTAAATGATAACCATAGAAAACTGACATAGCTATATAAATATCAGAGAAAATAGATTTAAAAATTAGAAAATGTACTAGGGATAGACAGAGTCTCTACATAATAACAAAGAGTGAAATTCTCAAAAAATGAATTATAATTATAGGCATGCATTCATATAATAAAATAACCTCAAAATATGCAAAACTAAATGTTTTGAACTGTAAGGCAAAATTAATAAATCCGCCAATGTAGTGGGAAATTTTGACATTTCTCCTCATTTTTGGAAAGTCGAGCAGACAACAATAATCAGTAATGTTATAGAACATTTGAATAAAAAAACTAAAAACTTGGCCCAATAGACACTGCAAACTTCCATATCCAAATATTAGAGAACATATAATTTTCTTGAGTATATATGGGACATATATAAATATTGATTATGAACTCTGTCAAAAAACACCTTCAATATATTTCATAGAGACTTGATTTCTAAAATCCTTGGAAATTTTTAAATAATTCAAAAGTAAAGAAAAAATCATGCTGGAATTTAGAAATAAGTAAAAGATACTAAAAATACACATAAAGAAACTTCTGGGATATGGCAAAACAATGCTTTCAAGGATATTTATACCTTTAAAAAGTAATATAAAAAATAGATAAGAATTTGAAATTTGATAAATTATCATTCTCAAGAAGCTAGGAAAATAACCAAATAAACCCAAAGAAAGTAGAAAAGATAATAAAATAAGAACAAAAATTATTGAAAAAAATATAAAAGTAGATCCACAAAGCAAGTTTTTTTTTAATTAACAGAAATGACATGTTTCTGGCAAGATTTAGGAAAAATAAATAAGAATAAATAAATACTATTTCAAGTGAAAGAAAGGTAATACTAAGAGTACAAGTTGAGATTTAAAAATAAGCAAGACAAAAAAAAAAAAAAAAAATAAGCAAGACAATGTTGTCTGTTTTTACCACTTCTATTCAACATAGTATTA